CTTGGGGAGTTGGACCCTGGTAAAATTGTAACACGATAGTAGAAATCTTGCAACCCTGACAGATGTACTAAAACAGATCTACATTCTAAAAAAAGTCATAAAATAGGCCTACGTTAAAAATATTGATTCTGTTGTTTCAAAAATAGCCACCATTAAAAAAATGGCAGCTAACTGTAATATTGGAACAGTCCGTATGCTATGGTCTTAATTGAATGTAGATAGATTAAGACTTCTTTATTCTATGCATTTTCTCGTTTAGGAGCTACATGATGCAGAATGTACACCACAAGCCTAAACTCCTAAACAGGTAACTTTAGAGAAAGAATGTCAAGAACAATCATAAAATACAGGGTGTTCCGTAAGAAATAACAAAGTTGACGGCCATGTTGGAAAATGGCGGACATATTAAAAAAATTCTAAACCATCCCAAAAGACATCTTAAAAAATAAAGTGGAGTGTCCCATAAGAAGTTAACTCCTTATCTCATAATAAAAGAGTTAGCTATTGGTTAACTTCAGGTGAGACACTGTGTATATTTTCTTGTTTCTCAATCTTTAGAGGATTTCAAACTAACCAAAACAACATACAATATTAATACTAGGGTAAAATTAATATACATTTCATTTGTAGCCTGCCTTTACCATGAGAAATTATATTAGCAAAATAGGTCTAAAAGAACTAGATAATGCCCTAGCAAATTTTGCTCCTAATTTTAGTCTTACCAACCTAATTCAAACACATAATAAAAAGTTCGAATTAATAAACAAAAAGCCACCAAATTTATACAAAAAAGTAAAGCCTACATGTAATTGTCCTACTGTTTACATAAAAATTTATCAATATCATTATTTTTATAATTTAGACTCTTTAAATCAAAAGCAGAGCCTGGGTTGATACAGCAATGGTTATAGAATATTTTTTTATTTCCATCAATGACAGTTTAAGAATAAATAGGCTAATCAACGTCAAAGTTTTTGTATAAATAAACCTACCACAAAGTTGTATAATATGTTATTATTTCATTTGTTTGGATCAGCTATAAGAAATTGTGAAATAGGCATTCGGCAGTTCTGCTTTTTTACGTTGAAATGTCAATGCAAAGATAAAATTGTGAATTTTATCATGCTTGCTTCCATGGGGACCAATAATTATTAATATTTACTTTTGAAAACCTCACATCAAAACTTTTTGTACATTTCTGTATATTTATTGATAGTTTATGGTTTTGTTACTAAAGACATAAGTACAAGTTAAAAATGTACTCAAAGAAAAGATTTGTCAACAACATTTACATAACAAACACACAAATGAAATCAAAAACATGTTTTAGATTTTAGAATAAAATGAGATGTCTAACTGCAGTAAAGTCAGTGAATGCAGGTTTAAAGATAGTTCAACCACAGACAATGGAAAAACACCTTTTTACCCTCCCTGTTGCAAATCCAGTGTAAATCCAATCAGGCAAATAGAAATTTGCTTAGTCTGCAGGTTTGCTGCGGCGGGGGTATTATATTACCTTACCGAAACAGTAAACCTAAAGTACTCATTTAAATTGAAGTTATTTAAATAGGAAATAAATATGATTTTTTTAGATAGATTGAATTTTGTTGTCATTGTGACAATAAGTATTTACTTCTCAAGACCCACCCGTAACATTGAAGGCCTAAAACAAATCCGTAGTCAACTTCTGGGTATACTTTAAAGGCTTACAGGTCAGTAGTCCAAAATTGTGTCTTATTTAAACTAATGTTGATCAAAGCTGACATCTGAGCTGAGCTGAGCTTAAATTATTGGGTGTTTTTGACGTAAAGCTCCGACGATGTTGCAGTGCAACGAAACATGTCAGCTTTGATCAACATTAGTTTAAATAAGACACAATTTTGGACTACTGACGGGCAAGCCTATAAAGTCATTATTCATAGTCCAGGGGCTATCAGAATGAATAATTCTGGGTATAGTAGTTACATGTGTGAGAAAATTCCACTATTTTTTCAGTACCTTCTTTATCGAGCTATACAAAATCAAACGGACGTTTTCTTCCTGAACAAACAAAAATACCTATGAGTTGTTCGAATGAAATTTGGGATACTCAAATGGACAAGAGTAACACTTAAACCACCTGATAAAAAAAATAAAATTTTAAATTTTACAAACTTAGAAGGTTGTATGTTTTAAGAAGAGATACCATAAATAAAACAAAACATGACATTAATTTACCTAAATCAACTTAATAAAGGCAATGTGGAAAAGGTATAAATCCATGGATCTAACTTTGAATATTTCAAGCTATATTTCCCCAAATTTTACGTTTCGAAAGTGGAGATGATTGGAATTGTCTATTGATTTTAGAGGAACATTATCAAATTTGTTTGTGAACTTTTGAAACAATATGATTTGGACCGTTCCCTTTCGAAAATTATTATACATTAACATTAAAAGGACGGTCATTAACTTTAACGAGAAATAATTTATTTGACGAACTTCAAAGCTAATCAATGCTGTTATATTTATTCAGTATTTTAGGGAGTTTCTATGTCGTTTGCAACCTTTTTAGGGCAGCTTTATTTATTTTTATGAATACTCGTAAATTGTTTTCTCCATACAAGGAATAGAAATGCCATTTTAAGACAATATTTTATAATGTTTAATTAGGTAATTGGTATTAGCATTGACTGTGGTGTTATATAGTCAATGGTATTAGCCTAATCTGCAGATTTGCTTCAGGAGGGTATTTTACATTACGTTGTAGTTATTCTAATGTTAGCTAAAGACACAGAAAGGTTCTATTTTCTTTGCACAGAAGCCAGAAAGCTAGCGCTTCTGCGGCGATAAGAGGCAACTGGCCTAGTAGTTTGTGTATTCGCCACTAGATCGTGTGGTCACTGGTAACGTAAATACTGTAGTTAATTTATAACTATTAATTTATATTAAATCAAGAAACAAAATAGGCTTCAGCTAGTAAGATAATAATAAACTATAAATTGAAAATGTCGCATTTTTTTTTAAAGTTAAGGCCGTGGTGGGTAACAAAAAAACCTTCTTATCCGTTGACTCCCGCACTGGATAGTCAGATCGTTAATAAATAAATACTCCAACTCTCCACGACAATGTTTGCTTTTCTGATTCTGATGAAAAAGAATTTTTTTCATCAGAATCGGAGGAGTTGAAGACAAAATCAAACATTATTCGGAGGCCATGAATCGTAACCCTTAGTTGGGGTCGAGGAGAGGAGTGGCACATAGTAGTCCTCGATGTATTCACGTACATCACCTCACACCTCTCCTTCTAGTACATTCATTCGATATCTACCTACTACAATTTAGTTCGTTACGTGTTTTATAGTGATCCCGTTATTACAGATTAATTTATAGGTTAAGAGTCTATTATTACTTTTATTTGGACACTAATTCGTTGTTATGTAACTTGTTTTGAGGTAAATGCATGTAGTTTACGTCTGTTTTATTCTCAACACTAGGTTTAGACCTTTTTACTAGTATTCATTTATGTCATACCTACTTAAGGGGGCAATGTACCCAAAAATACTTTTTATTTATAAATGGCCTAGATTTTTTTATCAAAGTGTATCCTAGTGTAAAACTAAATAAACGGTATCAGCATTCTGACACATACTTTCTCCCATAAGTTTGTCAACAACCTTTATCATGTGTAAGGGGTGAGAGTAAATATACGGAAACGGGATTTGTAAGATTTTCTTCAGAATTTAAAGGACTATAACATACTAAATTTATCAAAATCGTTCGAGCCAATATTGGGAAAATATGATTTTCCGTTATTTTATGGGGTTTTTATGGGGAAATAACATAATTTACAATAACTTTTGAACCGTAATTTTTACAGAGATGGGATTTGTACCATTTTGTTCAGAATATAAAGGACTATAACATACTAAATTTTTATCGAAATCGTTCAGGCCATTTTTGGGAAAATCTTTTTTTCCCGTCATTTTATGGGGTTTTATGGGAAAATACCCATTAAAAATAAAAATTTCTAAGAAATGAGAAAAACTATCAAAATTGTAAGGATCATAACATACTATGTTAAATAAAAACGGATTTTTTTTTCTAAAATCCTATTTTTCGTTATTTTATGGGATTTTATGGGAAAATAACATAATTTACCATAACACTTGAACCCTTGAACATAACTTTTGAACCGTAATTTTTACAGAAATGGGATTTGTACCATTTTGTTCAGAATTTAAAGGGCTACAACATACTAAATTTTTATCAAAATCGTTCGGGCCATTTTTGAGAAAAATCCGATTTTTCCGGTTTTTTATGGGTTTTTATGGGAAAATCCCCATTAAAAATCAAAATTTCAAAAAAATGAAAAAAACGCCTGGAGATACCATGGATTAGAACCTACATACCAAATTTCATCGAAATCGGACCACAGGTGTAGTCTCTAGCTCTGTACACATCCAGACACACAGACACACAGACACACACAAACACACACAAACACACACAGACATCACTTCGAAAACCACTTTTTTGGGTCCAGGGGGACCCAAAACGAATATATCCACTCAAAACTCAAACTCGAAAATTTTGACGAAAACAATACTTTCTCCATATACTATGGTATAGGGGGAGAAAGTAAAAGAAAATATGATATGAAATATGATAAAATATGATAAAAAAAAACACACGTTTACGTTTTACAGCATAACTCCTTTTGTACCTATAGCAATAGCACGTATTCCATTTTTTTTAAACTTTGTTGTATGGTGTTAAACGTAATGGAAAACACTAAAAAAGAAATATGCGGGAAATTGCAAAAACGCTTTGCTTCCAATAGGCGCCTGAAGCAGAAAAACCAGCTGTGGACCACAGACAATGGAAACATTAAAGTATTATATTGTCTGTGGTTCAACAATGTAGTGGTAGTGTACTGAACCAGCCGCTAGGGGCGCCACACACTGCTTGGCGGGAGTCCTATCAGCTGGGAAGCAGTGAAGCAGTAGCAGTGGCTGTGGTTCTGTTGCGGCGTTGTGATTTGTTTGGCAGTGGCAGTGGCATTGTCGCGAGTCTCCGGGTGGAACTGAGTGAATGGTGTTCGGATAGGTGTTGGTATGGTAATCATGGATTACAGGGATTTGCTCACGGGTAAGCTCATAAATAATTTTATAACCTATGAATAGATTGTGGTGAAAAATCAACCAAAATGTTGTGTTTCGTGAAACCTCCAACTAAATGTTTATATAAAAAAATCCTTAGTGCACGCAAATTAAGATATTTATTATTGATTAATTAGTACCAACTTTTTAACACTTACACATGGTTTCAAAGAACAAAGTTTGGTAGGGCCTTAGTATATTGAATGGATATTTGTTATATTGGGAAATATTTAACCTTTACCCATGGCCTTCTATGCGCTCTAAATATGTTGTTAGATTTTGTGACACTTTTACTACTAAGTTTATATAGCAAGTTTGAATCTTGGAAAAGCGGATGTTTTGCATATCATCAGGCTCTAAACTGTTAAATAAAACATATCAGAAACTATTAAAAAAAATCCCTTTGTGCATCACTTAGGCATAGTCAACATTTCTTAAAAAAATCACGTTGCAGTAAGTTAACTGGATAGCTTAATTTACTTTTTACAGGGATATCAGAATTACCTGCTATTGAGGAAGGCATTCATCTAAGAGTATTCTCATATAAAGATATTATCCACCATAAGCCGGATATGGTCTACTGCTATGCGTTATTTGTGTAAAACAAAATTTAAATATATCAAATTCTACATCATTACAAGCCAAATGGATGTTGTAAGTTTTTAAGACAGCAATATATCATCCATAGTCCAAAAATATTTTAAGCCAAGTTTGAATAGCTGACCGCTTTAAACGTGAAATAACTATGTATATAAAAATGTAGTATTGGCAATAATTGTTTGCAATTTTAAACCGTATACTACTGAAACAATTAGCTTTAGTGTTTGGCATACTCAAAGATACTGCACAAATTACATTGAATTTAATGTCTTATGTTTTCTTAACAGGTATGCGATTGTAGGTCTATTTTTACTTCGGGAAGCCCTTAGGCATTGGCCTGGGTTTTCCATTTTGCTCTTGAATAGGCCTACATACCACCGACCATGGCTTACAGATTAAAAGGGACTCTTGCTACATCTGAACTCTGAACTGCTACCTAGTTTGTTTACAAGCATACTTAATAATATTTATGCTACTGGTGAAAAATTATCGTAAACTGTTCCTGTTATAATAAAATAACCCCTGTAACAGGGGATTAAACAATTAAATTAAATCAATTGAACAGTTGAAGTTGCAACAACCCTGCAAACTAAGCGAAATTGTAGTTTCTTCATTAGATTTTTTACCAGTCCATAATACGGGAAACTTGAGATTACGAGGTGTGCACTATGGAGTTTACTCTATACAGTATTGAGCTTCGAGAGACACGTATCATATTTTTCAATAATTTTAAAAAGATTTACGATAAAATAACGAATAATGCTATAATATGATGGATACATATCCATAAGCAATTCATGTATACTACCGTTGCTTATTCGAATGGTATTTTGTTTTTTAATGTCCATCATTTTTAGACGAAAAAATGTCTTAATATCGTTATTTACCGACAGTGGTTCTACAATGACATTGTAACCTCTTCATCTTCTAACAAAAGTTCTTAATAAAGAAACTAGCACTAAATGTTGGCGTATTCTGCAGAACACAACTGACTTTAATATTGTTTGTGAATTAAAACTAGTATCAAGTATACAGTCATTGGTCAATTTTTTACCAAATCATTAGCGTGCAAATAGTGAGACTGCCATTGGGAATATTTGCCAAACGTGAAAACGTCACCAACCTCTGGCCAAGGTGTTGTACTGTGTGAGTCGCATAATAATCATACACACACACACACACGCACACACAACGGACCATTAACTGGACAGTTTTAATGGTTCTATCTATGGTAAGAACCTGTGTAAAGTGGTGGATTTGTAATGGCCCAACTCTGGACTAAACCTTCCTTGATCATTTGGGATTATAATTATATTTTTGCTAAAAGAATCAGATAATCTTAACAGCAACAAAGTTTTTCACGATATTCAATCAACGCGTCCTTCAAATTAGTTTTCGGATCCTTAAACCAAGGTGTGCCGATGTCAAAGTTTATTAAATAGCTCAAAAGAAGGTGTAGTCATTTTCCAAAACGTTCAACCGAAATTGAAGATACCTACTCGTCAGCTGAAGAAAGCTATGTAGAGTGCGTTTTGTTTACTATTTCCATCATATCCTACTCCTATAATCTGAAAGAAGCGCGTGTACGGACAAACTTTTATTTTCGTCCAAGGATTCAAAATTTTTAAAATATTTACTATGGGGTATTTGACCACGAGAAATCGATTGGAGTTGGTTACAGGGCTGGGGATAATCCAGTTTCCACCCTACAGCCCTTTTAAAGTGCCCAATATCGTCAATACCTTTTTATAGCAATATGTACCCATTTATAAAGGTGCATTAAAATGTTTTCTTTGTATATTCTAAAGTTTGTTTACATGGAATACCGTACATAATAAACATCTTTAATTTAGCAAAATAACTTATCTAATAAATTTAGTGTTTAATTCAATCCGAACAAAGCTCGGTCTCCTGGTACTATGTTTTTTTTAATTTCGCCAATCCAATACTTTATGGGTTAGCTACCAAATAATAGAGTTTAAAAACTATATGCACCCTATTTAAGTAAGATATGTACACACACACACAAAGTGTCAGTGTCAGACTTAAAAGACAATCGGTTAACCACGTGTATTACAATACTGAATTTCAGAGGGATAACATAAAGCTGCATTTAAAAGTCAAAACAAAAGGTACATGGTGGCAATTTTTTAAATGGCAAATATAATCATTGAGTTTTAGATACAATTGTCGATGGCCAAATTATTATAGACATCCCTTGTATGTGGACTAGCACAGCTGTAGCCAATGTTTCATTCATACAGAGCATAATTGAATGAGTCATTCACAGAGTAAGCTACCACAGAGTAAGAAAACTACATTTTCCTCTGCTATTTGGATAGTTAATGAGACGTAGCAGTTGTTTTAGTTTACAATAATTCATCCTTATACCTTGACTCGGTTAATAAAAATGGCGTATTCAACTGAAACCAATACTGTAGGTAGATGACATATCGGCACAATCTATCGGCGCACAAACTACGTATATTTTTTAAAACGTTTTTATTAGCTCGCTTTCTTGTCCGGTACAAATTTTGAAATCAATTGTATACCACTAGTAACTTCCCGACGAGCTAGAGACTTGAAACTTGAAACGTAGCTCACAAATGGAAGACAATGCAATATTATATCATTTAATTTTCATATTTCCCTTGGGCTACGCCCCATGGGCTTGTTTTTATTAAATCGCTTTCTTGCAAATTTTGATACTTCCCGATGAGCTAGAGACTTGAAATTTGAAACATAGCTCATAAATGGATGACAATACAATATTATATAATTTAATTTTCATATTTCCCTTGGACTACGCCCCAAGGGCTTGTTTTTATTAGCTCGCTTTCCTACAAATTTTAATATCAATTTTAAACGAAGTTTCCGATGAGCTAGAGACTTTAAACTTGAAACATAGCAGCTCACAAATGGATGACAATGCAATATTATATAATTTAATTTTCATATTTCCCTTGGGCTACGCCCCTTTGGCTTCCAAATTTTCCATGTTTACATTTTAAAAGAATGTATACATATAAATTAATTTAAGTCAGCTGTAAATACTTAAATTTGACAGTTAGAAGAGCAGAGGTTAAAAGGTACAGGTTCTGCTCCCGAGATATTCTAAAAATATAAAACAATCATTTCAAAGTAAAGATAAAACATCTGATTACAGATAATAAGGTTTTGGTTTTTGGTTATGCATTAAGAGGCTATATAAAATAGATTTAACATATTTACAAATTAAAGACTAAAAACTAGATAATAATTTATAAATAAAAATACTTTTTAAAAATAACACGTTTTTAAACGCACTAAAAAGTATAAAATAATGTATAAAATGTTGAGAGAATAAATACTTGTAAGATTTAAAACGAAAAACGTGGGGCGCATGTAATAGATCATAATAGTTCAATAGGTGAAGTTAATTGTAAATCAGCGTGCGCCCCACGTTTTTCGTTTTAAATCTTACAAGTATTTATTATCTCAACACTTTATACATTATTTTATACTTTTTAGTGCGTTTAAAAACGTGTTATTTTTAAAAAGTATTTTTATTTATAAATTATTCATTGTAAAACTGGCTACAAATTTAACATCGGGACGCGATGTCAACTTCCATCGATAGTCAAGTGTAATACAGTCACATTCAAACTATTTAACCACAGACGAGATGTTACAGTAATATTTACTCTCTTGTCTGTGGCTTACACGTTTTGTGGTTGAGCATAAATTTGATCCTTGAAGCTGACGTAGTTGACAATGTGTGGAGGCGGTGAAATGGTGACTCACTGACAACTGATCCAACACATCTCAACCACAAATGAACAGCTGTGAGCTCATAGCGCCGTGTCTGGAATTCGTGGACAAGCATTTTGAATTCGGGGAGAATCATAATCCCCCACATACATGAGAATTCAGAAATTTCATTGGGGTTTAAATTAACATAAATTACCATATAGCCCCGTACATTTTATAATAATGTACGTACGGTGTGACTCAGTTTAGCTTGCAGTGTGATAAAGACATACAAGAATGTGCAGCAGAATTTCGAACTCATACTTTTGTGTACGGTTTGATCAACTCCTCAGGACTAGAATAAGGATTTCTGAATTGAAAATTGTTTATTCTAATCTTAAAAGTACGCATAGGTAAATTTCTAATACTTACATACCTACAATATTCTACATTCATATGTAAAAAGTTCTTCTCAAAGTACATGTAAACATGTACTTCTCAATAGATATATTATACAATAAACTACAACTGTGTTAACAATTTCCTATTACTAAAATCTGAAAATATAAAATAATTGATAGTTTGATTTAACCTAGTATGGAAAGGGAAAGGGATGAACTTATAAATGGTAGTGGGTTTGAGTAGAATTAGATGCTGATT